CCGCGCGATCGCGGCCCGCCAATCCGCGGCGGAATCGGGCTCCCTTAGGCCCGCCCGAGAAGCCCGATTGGCGGGCCGCCCAGCCAATCGCTGAGCGAAGCTCGTGCACGGAACGGTCCCGGGAGCTCGCGGAAGATTTTAGCTCGGAAAGTCGCTTTTGGCGGAGCAGGTGGCGGCCTGGCCGACCGGCCCGTGCGCGCGATGGCAGTGCGTGCAAAATGCAGCAGCAGTTGCTCTCCGCACGAAGTGCCAGTGCAGATATTTCTTCATTGCATTTCCATGCTCCCAAAGAGCCGGCGCTCCCGTGGCGGGTCGCAGCCATCGACACCAGCAATTGCAACGTGAAGTCCCGTAAAAATGTTCAAGCACAACACTAAAACTGAAAGGCCGTGCAATAAAAATAAAATAAAGGCACAAACCTGTGGAAGTTTAGACAGAGAAAGGCCTCAAACTCCCAGCATGCTCCAGCCAGGGGCATGCTGGGAGTTGAAGGCCATTTTTCTTGAATTTTTAAATATTTAGCTATTTTAAATCTTAAGGATTCAGAAGGACATTGAAAGTGAAATATGAAGGTACTGGAAAGAGCACAAATAATAGCGCGAATCGCTAAGCTAACATTGAGTGAATTATTGTCAACTAACAGAACTTGCTGCTTTCCAAAATCAAAGTGCAGCTTTATAACTTTAAAACCAAAGCACAGCTCCTATATTTAACATTTAAATCCCACCCCTCCTCCAGAAGAGTTCAGGGTGGGGCACGGGGTGTTCACACAACAACCCTGCAAGGTACACTGAAGGGGACTCGCCCAACGTGTGTTTTCCTTGCAACAGCCCTGTGCGGTAGATCAGACAGTCGTTCCTCCTCCGCCCTCTTTTTTTGTTCAGAAAATAAACAAATGCGTAAGGAATAGGAAATGAAGCAAACTAAAACAAACAAACAGCAATGAACAAAGTTGCCGAGGGAATTCTAAACAAATGCAACCTACGCATCCAAACCTCCAGATTATCTATCTTGGTCTTTCAACGCTGTGAGTTTATCAGAAACGAAATCATTACTCTATACAGCAACAAATATTCCAATCATCTCAAAGCCTCTGCTTCCCCCCCCCAACTGCCCTTTAATGCTATTATTATTATTATTATTATTATTATTATTATTATAACATTTCTATGCCGCCCCTTGCCGAAACCTTGGGGCGGCTTACAACATGATAAAATACATTGAAATACAATAGCACATAATAAATTACCATTAAATACAAAAATACAAAAAATACATTGATTTACAAATATAAAATTAAAATTATCAGTATAAAATAAAAATATAGGGGGAGAAAGAGAAGGAAGAAGAAGTTGCCCTGGCCAGATCATATGTTTTAACAATTGAAATGATGTTGAAATAAAAAGGTCTTTACCTGGCGCCGAAAAACCAGTAACGACGGTGCCAGGCGGACCTCTTTGGGGAGTGAATTCCATAGGTTGGGCGCCACCGCAGAGAAAGCTCTCCTCCGGGTACTTACTCTCCTAATTTCTTTCATGGAGGGTTCCCGGAGAAGGGACTCTCCCGCAGATCTCAAAGGGCGGTCGGGCATATACGGACATAAGCGCTCGTTCAGGTAGCCAGGACCTAAGCCGTTTAGGGCTTTATAGGTCATATTAGTAATGCTGAACATGGTAAAATTTCCACCTAGCATTAAATTCTTCTAACAGTCTTCTGTTTGCTTATTCAGCTTGCCTCTGTTTATTCCACTGCTCCTCCAGGAGTCCTTAATCTTCATCAGGTGTATCATTTTTCCAAATTTATTTTTTATGGTGAGTTTCACCAAAATTTTATCTAAAGTTAATTAGGACGTGCTCTCAGTTCTATTGAATAAATTCTTTTTCATGGAGGGGGGAACCTACACTGATGGACAAAAGAATTCATAACCGCTGACATCAACAGAATACTCAATTTTCGGATTAAATTATTTTTCAGAAGGCTGAGAATAGAAACTGGAACACTGTTGGAGTCCATCCTGTGACACTAAGGAACTCTCCTGAGTTCTTTAGAGTCTCCCTTTTGTTTTAAGGCACAATCCTATGCAGGTTTGTGAAAAGAAAAAGCTGTGGGTATTCCAAAATAATGGGCTGGAGTGTGCTGGAAAATGCAGGGTGTGTGTCTAAATATCATGGGAGTGCAGCCTTAGGCATTTAGCTATCACGTGGCTGGTGTAATGTCTCTCTCAAACAATACTGATTCTTGACCAAGTAGTTAAGATAGTTGGTTCTTTCCCTGGATAGACAAAGCTTCCCGCCCTTATGGTCTAAAAATTGTCAGAAGAAAGCTACCTGAGGCCAAGGTAAGCAGGTGAAGAGCAGACAACTATTCTGTCTAAATGTACGAAGGCTTAGTAATAAATTATTGAGTTTCGACAGCTGGGTCAAAGGCGTAAACATTATGCATCAAATCATGAGAAACATTGTGCTTCACCGTGTGGTAAAGTATGCAGGGTGTTGTTCCAAGAATAGGGGAACCCACACCCAAAATTTCACTCATCCCTAAAAGTCACTTGCAGCCATTCACTCTCACTCAGCTTAACTGATTCTACAGGATTATGGAGATGATAAAATGGGAATGGGGGACGTTAGTCCCTCAGGCACCTGAAGGAAAGATAGGAGAAAAGTTAAGTTCCAGGGGTTTGCGGTGCCTGATCTGTATTTCCAAGGTGTTTTGACTGAAGTCGTTCACATGAAAACACGAGGCCTGAACCTTAGAGGCTTTTTGGGCTACTTCTGTCTCGCAGGCGCTTTCCTGTTGGACCTAAGAATAGTCTTACTGTAACAGGAGCAGCCCGCTGGAGAACCAGGACTTCACCGGATTATACAAATGTTGGCAGAGCACAGAGAAGTAAAAACCTAATTTGGGTTCACTGTATCCCCGATAAAAGAGGATGGATGATTATCTTGCAAGCATTTCCCCTCTCCTTTGAAGTCACTCCTCTGTTGCCCAATTTTCAGGCTGCTTTTGAGCTCTGTGCCAAACACTCAATGACGTCATTCATGCAAACGTGTTTGAGGGATAATTGCACGCAAATTAAGGCATCTTTTCCCCTGAGAAATGAAACCCCTATCACTTTTTATTCCAGTTTTCCGTAGCAGCTGTAGTTCCCTCAAGGCCATGCTAATGGAAGAGATCATCCTTTTCAGAAAGAAGGATAATATAATGCCCATATCTCAAATTTCAGACACTGTGATAAGTTTATATTATTGTTTGTATCTCAGTGTATTTTTTGTATTTTTGTATTTAGTGGTAATTTATTATGTTCTATTGTATTTCAATGTATTTTATTGTGTTGTAAGCCACCCCGAGGCTTCGGCAAGGGGCGGCATAGAAATGTAATAATAATAATAATAATAATAATAATAATAATAATAATAATAATAATAGTTCAGTGGAAGGCATAGTCATTCCTTGTGTTCTAACCTGGAAACGTGCAAAGCAGCAACATAGGAGACCGTGCATCCAAACATGTGCAGAATGACGGAACCAAAAGGCTCAAGAGCCCATCGCTCTGGAACTGAAGAACTCAGGCCTGAGGTGAAGCACCAAGATCTCAAGGAAAGCCTGAATGTTTTGCCCCTTGTTTTAGCAACCGACTAGGGTGCTTCGGTATATTTGGGAAACGGGGGTGCAGCTGAACACCACAGCAGGATATCTAGGGACTCCTTACCCCCGCTTCCCTCCCTCCCAGTGCAGAACCTGTCTGAGCCTTTCCTTTCCGATTTAGCCTTGCATTTATTCCTGAGGCTGACAGCATCTGTGGAATCTCCTTTTCTATGTCAGTGGAAGGCTGACCTCGGAGGTCTGAGATTGCTCCCAGCTCCCCTCATCCCTGCCGCAAGTTTCTGCTTCGCACACACACCGCTCCTCTCCGCCCAGATCTCCCTCTGCCACCTTGATGGGACCATTACCCTTTTAAAAGCATGATGAATTTGCTTTGGAGGGGGAATCCTCGCCTTGCCAGCAGCTGTCTCCACTCCTGCCTGGTTGGTAGAGACATGTGTACTGTCCCCTCCCCTTGGCCTTTTTAAGATGGAATCCGATCCCCCTTCCCAGGGCTGATAATACTTATTGAGGACTGGTCACGTGGGCCCGTTTTGACAGGTGCAACTGCAGAGCAGGCAGACGCACTGCCTGGAAGGACTTGGGGGATCTTGACCTCCAAGAGGAGCCGGGAGGGGAGCAAGCTGAGGAGAAGGGGCTGACAGGGCAGAGGGTCTGCGTGGCGAGCGGGAAGCGGGACGAGGCGTCGAGAAGGAGGCTCACAAGCGGGCGGAAGCATGACGACCCAGATGGAGACGCACATGCAATACAACCACTCCTACATGGTGACGGAGGAGTACATGGCGCAGGAGGAGGACTGGGATCGGGACCTGCTCCTCGACCCAGCCTGGGAGAAGCAGCAGCGAAAGGTAGGGGGGACGGGTTGGGGGGCGCAGCCGTGGGGCAAACCCGGGCCTCACCGGCCCTCCTCAGCCGGCCGTGCCGACCGCCACCCGTTTAAACCAGGCCACTTGGCTTCTGCCGGGCTTCCAGGCAAAGCCCCCCGATGTTCTCAGTCTCGCAAAGCCAGAGAGGCCAAGAGGAACCCTCGGAGGATGCAGACCTGGGTTGGTGGGGCCAGGCTCGGCCTGGGTGCAAGACCGCCCCGTCGAACGCGCTGCCCAGCCGGAGCGAGCAGGGCGACACTGCAAGGGATTCTGGGGCATGCCTTACCACGGGGGGCGGCAGAAGGGACGGGGTTTGCCTCAGGGCAGGGGGAACGCCGAGCAAATAGGAGCAGCCTTCCTGTTCCAAAACCAAGCGCTGATCTGCAGGGCCAGAGACATACTTGATGTACGGGCAGCTGCAATACGGAGCAAGACCTGTATGGAGTTTTGGGGAGGCTTTAGGATTCCCTGTCGAGCGGAATCCGAAGGGTCCAAGGAGGTCACCCAAAATATTATTCCTCTTTCATGTCAGCTGCCCAATTCCACACCGTGTTGCGGGGAAACAAAGGCCTTTACTTAAATAGCGCACCGCAGAGGTGGGAGAACCCTGCGGGTCCCACAGCTGTCATCTTGTGCCTCAAATCCCGCTGCCCGCAGCTGTCCCTTCCCGTCAGCCGAGCCACATCCTATATGAAACCAGGAGTGACATTTCGGGCAGCGTACGTCAGAAGAGACTCACCCCGCTGCTGGAGGGGCGGTGGGGGGGCTGCAAAGAAGAGGCAAGGAGAGCCTATGTCACTGGAGTGGAATTCGCCAAGGGCCAGAGCCGGGTCTGAGCTATGCCAGGAATGATGGAGACCCGAGAGAGAGGGAAAGGAATCGGCTAAATATATCTTTGTGTGGCAGTAGGGAACATGTCCTAGTGCGGCTTAAGTTTTAAAATGTTGTTGCAAAAGGGGGATGTCCCAATCGCAAAGCTTCAGGGAGACCCTCACCACCCCCCAAGCACAGACGGTGGCAGGGTGCTCCGAACAGTAACGCACAAACGTTCGGTCCGCTGGCGCAGAGCTCCTTTGCCAGAAGGGGTTCCCATCCCAAAGAGCAAAAGATTGATATCTGTTAATATTGGACAAAGGCCAGAGTTCACCAGGCTGGATTTCTCCTACCACAACACTAAAAATCCATGCATGGCCTTTGACTTTGCCAGTGCTGGAACTGTGGGAGGAGACGGGGAGAAGAGAAGGCTCTCGTGTGAAATCGATGGACCCTGATTTCACATTCCCTTCTAAGAGCAGTAGCGAAGGGAAGCAACACAACCCTAACCCTAACCCCAACCCCTTGTAACTGGGGCGCTGATTGTGGCTTCTGTGCCACTGCTAAATGCTCAGGAACGTCTCTGCACCCCCCAAGCTGGCTGGAAGGTGGACTCTTCTTTGCACAAGTCCTACACCCACCAAGCTCCCACGGACATCCCTCCTAGTTCGCCCCTTCTTATTTTATTTATTTATTTGGAACACTTAAACGCCGCCCCATTCACAAAAGCCTTGGGGCGGCTTCCAATACAAATAAATAACTATACAAACACATAAACATCTGGAGACATCCCGGCATAAATATAAAACCAATAAATAAATTCAACAATTAAAATAACGTTTAAATAAGGTCTTGGCCTGGCGCCGAAAAACAAGATCTGGCCGCTTGTATGTTGATATTTATCACTGCCACATTCTCCGCATCCCTTCAACTGGCATCCTCACTGTTGCTTTCGAGTGTACCCATTTACACTTCTCCGCAGGTTTGCACGCACGTGTTCTTGACTGTGTGACAAACCATGTACCCCCCGCCGGTTATAGGCTCCAGCAAGGAAATCCAGCCCAGGGAATAGGTGCTTGATTAGGGCTTCAATATATATATTACTACTCTGCATCCTCACGGACTGGATGTCTATCCACATCTGTCTCGGCCTCGATTCCCTAATTTTAAAAATACAAAAAACTATGGTCTGTCCTAGAAGATTCTTGTGTAGTTGTGAACCCTGCCTGATATTAAATGCATTGCATAAATAGTTATACTGAAAAAGGCATGCAATATTTTGAGGTCATTATAATCCTGTCATACTTTTTGGAACCTGAAAAAGACCAGGTGGCTGCTGTTCTGTGAAATACGGGCTCGTCCTTCTCGTTAAACCTTTGGTGAGGGGATTATCTCCACACCATAGTCCCGCTTAGTACAATGGAGGGGGGGGGTGGATACCCGCATGGCCTTCTAGCAGGCTGATGGGGGTCGTGGCATCCAAGAGAGATCTTTGCTCTCTTGACCACAATCCGTGCCAGTGTGTTTTGTGGCATCCACAAGCAGACGGTTCATTGTCTAGTTTTCTTCTAACATGGGGAAAAGGTGGTCACTCCATGGCAGAGCATAGGCCAAAGTTCCCATTTAGTTGCAAGAGATGTCAGCTCCCGCCACCCCCAGGTGCAGGTGGAAAAGCCCCCCCCACCCCCATTTGAGACCCATCTTGAACTACACCGACCCATCATCTGATTTAGCACAAAGCAACTTCTTGCATTTCTACCATGTCAGGAAAGGACAGGCAGCTCTTCACTCATTTTCAAGCCAAGACTGAAGGTCAGAAGCTCTCCTACCATGGAGGGCCAACACTAAATTCAAACCTGCTCGTGTTCACCCTTAGGTCACAGTCATCTCACCATGACTGTCCTGTCAATCCGAATTAGCCGCAGGAGTGAATCCTGCTTCACACGAGTTTCTTCCCTCTGATCTGGGGAGACATTTCCCAGCCAAGCGGGCACAACACATCCTCAAGGCCAGGTTGTCCGGAGGCCTGTAATCTATCTCCAGGAAAACGCCAGCTGGACATTCCCCTTGTCATTATAATACATGAGTGATTACCTCCCCAAATGAATTGGACCAGCTTGTCCCAGGACCGTATAACCCTGCTCTTTGAAGCTTGGGCACTGTTCCTACTGATCTCATTGCCAGAAACGTATCTCCACCTTCTCTGGGCCCCAAAGCATGGCAGATTGTGTAGCCAACAGCAGGGACTTAAGAAACCTGCAAGGGTCCTTGGGAAGAGACATCCCTGAGGCCTAAAAGGTGCCTCATTCTCCAACGTTTGAGCCTCGCCTTTGATGCCATGGGACACCTATTCCTGCAAGGGGAATAGTTTGACTCCGTTTCTATCATTGTGTGATTTTCTCACAGTCTAATCTCTTTCTTCAAATGGAATAATTTCGTTATCGGCAGTTCTGCCGTGATTTCCTTCTGTGCTCCAGACAATTATGCTGAAAAGCACATACACTTAATGAATGTATGGGAACTTTAGGAGGAGCCAAAAACAGTGTGGCTTTGGGGTCCTTTAGTGGGTGAGAACCCCATTCTTAGTTTTGCACCATTTCCTTGTTGCAATGGAGGCATGTCTGAGATAGTCTATTGATTAACGGGTCTTCCCATCACCACATTCTCTCCACAACAAGCTTCCTTTCCTTCATGTTTGTGTACACACACACACACACACTCCCACCCACCCAACCAAAAATCAGACTTATTTCAGCAACTTTTCACCCAGACCCGGGATATGGATTTTTGTTAAACTGCATAAAGAAAAACAAGAAGTATTTTTGAGGGAAATGGAACGGCAGGTGGGACTAACCTGAAGAAAAAAAATATGCCTCCTTTCCTACCCCAAGACCTGAGAGTAGGTTATAGGCTGCCCCCCTTTTGCAAACTGACACCCACCTGGCAAGGTACGATCCATTTAAAGAAAATGACCAGAGAGTTTCCTGTCCAAACAGTAATTCAAACCTGAAACCCCCATAGCAAAAAGACACCCAGGCTGATCCACACGTTAACGTGCAAGCGAGCCGTGCCTCCTCCTCACCGGGAAAGGCAGCCGGCACCCAACTCCACCTGCCGAGCTCCAATTAAATATGGCGAGCAGGCCGGGGCGTGAGCAAGACCCCAGGAGGGTCGTTTTGCAAAGATGAGCCCGGGGGACACCGGACCCCCGCCTTCCTCCTGGCTCGCCCCTCTCCCACCTTCCCCAAAGAGCAGCCCCTGCAGCCCCGGCCCGGGACGCCGTTTCCTGCTGATGCTGGAGATCTGCTTTGCAGAAGCGGGACTATCGGGTAGCGGCTGCTGTTCCAGATGCCTTACCCATGTAAGGAAGTTTCTAAAAACTGCCCCTCGGCCCGGGCTCTTGCAAGGAGGCAGGGGGATGAGCTAATGGCAGTATTTAGGAAGAGAGGCGCGCTTAATTAGGGTAGCGAGAAGGATCTCCCGCATCCCTCCCCTTTCGCGAGCGGTGGATGGCAAGGACGGCCTCCTCCAGAATCAAGGAGCTATTTAAAGCTCTTGCCCGGCTGGATCACCCACCGCATGGAGGGAGTGGCTCCGTTCGCGGGCCGAGGGGCATTTTTATGCAGAAGGGAAACAGTCAGGGGCGAGTTCGGTCTCGGAGGGTCTCTTCCCAAGGATTCCCACACTCTGCGGAGGAGATGTTGGATCTGGCAAGATCTGGGTCTGAACCCCCGATCCATCCACTCGGCATCAGCCCATGTCTGGCCTGTTCACAGAACCCATAGAGGCATGGATGAAGACGGGGGGCTATGAAGGCTTGGCCCCCATGGGTGAAATTGAGACCTCTGAACACCCGAGTTTTCATTTTTAGAATCTCAATAGCCCTTGAACTGAAACTTCAGTTGTGTTCTGCCAGTTGTTGAACAAAAATGCAACCCGGGCCTACCTCTCATTCTTTCAGCCAATAAGTATTATTCTGTCTTTTTAAAATGCTTCTATAAACCGCTTGGAGATCCTCAGCTACTGGGTAGTACAGAAATTAAATGAATCTGATAGATTCTAGGCATTTGTTCAAGGTCAGAAACATGGCATTTTATTCATCATCAATACCGTGCGATATCTTTACCTGTATTAACTACATGTGTGTAGATTCTTACAGTTCTCCGAAG